ATATCCATTTACATTTGAAATATCCATTTAGGATGGCGCTGGCTTACAAATGAAACATATATGTGAAACTGAAATCTACAACAGATTGGCAAAGACATCCAAACAATCTAGAAAAACAACTTGAACATATAAAAGACACACTTGGCGTTGCCTGGGCTGCCTGTTCCTAGCCTGCAGTCTGCGCACCGCAGCTGTGGTCACGGAGATGGAGCTTTCCTGGCCGCCGAAAATCGGGTTCAATCACACTTCAGTCCACACTTGGGTCAAATGCGCGGCCGCAGCGGTGGACAGTCTGCGCGAGGTGACAAATCGGGTTCAAAAACTTTCCTACGGTCGGTGAAGAAGACAAGCTAAACACAGAAGCAATCAGCAGGTCGCTACTATACGAGGGTGGACGCCGTCGCTAGAAGGGTGGAGGCCATCCCTACTACCTATAATCTGACAGGTTCGGTTTGAGACTGGCAGGTTCAAATCTGCCAGATTCCTTTTGATTCTGCCGTAATCAAAATGAGTCTTCTAAGTTTTTCACCAGATAGCGAAGCTATGGAATTCTTACTTCAAATCACAATGAGCTGCCTGCGTGCGCTTTTGAGACAGGTTGCCGGCGCTGGCGCTGGTTCTGTGAGCTGGCTGCGCGCGTGGTGGAGACAGGGCGCCGGCGCTGAGTGCCGGGCGCTGGCGCTGGTGCTGTGCGTTGGCTGCGCACGTGGTGGAGACAGGGCGCCGGTGCAAGTGCTGGGCGCTGGCTGCGTGCGTGGTGGAGGGCGCCGGCGCTGTGAGCTGGCAGCTACAAGGTTATTAACCGTTTAGCTGCTAAGTCATTAGTTAAATAGTTAGCTAAGTGTTTAGCTAAATACTTAGCCAATCAAAATCACGCTGTGGAAGAACAAGTTTGCTATGAATGCACTGAAGTGAAACCAGCATTACACGCCATGGAAACAGGCCTTTGCCTGCCAAAATGTGTGATGTCAGTTATGTACAAGAAGCTGGTATGGATTTCGCAACGTGTGACTTTACTTGGCATGAGCTGGCAATGCCAGCCCCAAAGAAGCTTGTAATGGCAGCCAAGAAGAAGCCTGCAATGGCAAGAAAGCGGCCAACGAGAAGCCTGTCTTGGCAAGAAAGCCTTGCAACAGCAAAGCGCAATTTACCTCCAGGGCAATGGAATCAAAGTTGTGACTCTTTTGGTCATTGTGTGCACGCACACAACTGGTCAAAACCTGGCGCAAAGGAATTGCTGCAACTTGGCTGGAATTGTTGCGCCACAGCGTATGTATTCCCTTTGCCAACCTCCAGCAAAAACAACAAAGCCACCAAGCAGAAGGTTTGCCCAGCAGAAGCCACATGCAGTTGAATTTGTCCAGTGCACCTCCCAGACCCATCATTGCTCAGGAGACCACATCTCCTTGCGAGCAGGAAGCCCCATGCTGGATCCAAGCTGTGTGGCTTGTAGCGACCAACTTCACATCCACCATTGGCCACAAGTGCCCCACTGCGCCAGCCAGCTTGTGGGGCAATTTGTGAGCATTTTTTTGGCACTCCATTACGGCAAAAGTGCTTTCGCATGTAACTCTTTGGTTGCAACTTCTTCCAACACACTCTGTTCCAGCTTGCTGGTATTGGCAATAGCACTGCCAATTTGTGACACAAATCGATGCTTTCTTTCCATTGTCCAACATGCCGCCATGACTTTGTGGGTTTTGAATGCCTGCCCTGAAAATGCAAAAACCAATGATGCTTCTTGATGACTTTCCAGCCTATGCCAACCCACAATTGCACTGCTTTTTCTGACGCCCTTTGGGTAGCTTCAGAGCAGTGATTAATTCACTGGCAGTGCAGCTGAACTTGCTGCCTTTTCTGTGTTTTTGCACTCTCTCATCTGTAAACAGCTTTTGCACATTGATGCCACACTGTGTCCACTGGCCTGCAATGGCTGACGAGCCAACATAGTCACAAAGTTCCAGCAGTCCGTTTCTTGCATGAGGTATTATATGCCAATGGATAAAATCCCATTGGAGCACAAACAGTGCGTCCAATCATGTATTGCCTGCATGGATCCAGGACATCCCTCAGAGTCCTGTCTGCCAGCACTGCTCCTGGGGAGAAAGTTATGCCAGCAGCCTGCTGCCGCCAGCACTGCTCCTGGGGAGAAAGTTATGCCAGCAGCCTGCTGCCACCTTTAGAACTCTCCAAGTAGATCACGTTGACCATCTGCCTGCCATCCTGTCCCATGAAGCAAAGACCTCTTCAGACTCTGTCAATTGAAGCTGGCAAAAAGATGTCCATCTGGTCTCCTCACTGACACCATCATCATCTTCAGAATGGGAAAACACACTGTTGCACAGGCCGTAAACCTTGCGCCAGCATCGCACAGGCCATGAATTTTTTTCTATTTTAAACTTTGTATTCCAATTTTAATCTTTTAGATTTGAGTTCAGACCCTGAATTCAATTTTTAAGTATTTAGATGTGAATTCAAAATCTGAATTCAAATCTCACGTTTTTAAAAATTTGCATTCAGAATCTGAACTCGAATTACAAAATTAAAGAAGTCTAATTCAGAAAAGACCAAACTTTGAATATATAGTATTCATTAAAGAAATTTCCCTTACCTTCTTTCTTGCAGAGCCACAAAGCAGCCCTGATCAGGAAGCGGCCCAGCAATTTCACATGGTCCTTGTGGAGGAGACCTTGGGAGATTTTTGCAAAGCTGCCAGCAGAAGTGTAGCCATCTTTTTTGTGACCATCAAATTCTCTCTATTGCCAGCAGGCTTCATCTTGTCAATGTCAGATCGGACCAGCAATCTGCTGAAGCCATCCTTCTGCTTTGGGCTACTTAAAGCATCTGCCAGCCAGCAACATCGAACCATTGGGAAAGACGACTCCTTCCCACAGTCTGTCTTCGCTATTGCAGTGAACAGTTCTTCTCCCAGCAGCATTGACCCTGCAAAAGTTGTTTCTATGGCAGACAGCAGCTTGACCGGAGGGAAGCCTGAGCCGCCCCCATGGCGCGCCACAAATTCACCCACTACATCCAAGTAGGTCAAGGGTGAATACGCTTGGCAGTCTTGCGCACACTCTTCCAAATCATGAGTTCTGGAATAGGCCATAACCATTGACATGGCTAGCTCCACCATCTCTGTCACTTGGCCGAACCTGCCTGCAAACCATCATGGGGCTGCAGTTTCAACTACAGCAGCCAAGCATTTCTAATTCCAGCCAATGTTCACAGCTGGTTCAAAAGCACAATGTTGTGTTCTTGCGCGATGTGCTCTGCAGAGAAAACCTTTCCAAAGGCTTCCTGTTCTGGTCTGCATCCCGCATTGACAGCTTTCACAAACTGGCTCATACGGCTTGAACTCAAAGCCAACCATCGTTCTTTACCACTGGGCTGCGCAAGTTTGCCATCAACCTCTTCTACCAGCAACTGCGTGGCTTTGAGCTGGGATTCCCTTGTACTGCAATCAGAGCTGAGCTCTATGCACCAGCTCTCACTCAACCTTTCACGCGCCCATCCAACCTTCGAAGCTTGGGATCTTCTGCTATGCGCATCAGCAGCATTGACCATGCCACCAGAGCGATTGTGTGCACGCACTCTGAGCAAGCTGGCGTGGATCTCCTGCTCATATACCTAAGCCATGTTTTTGCCAGCGCATCCACCATTTTCCTGGCCTTGTTTTGTACGCCAAAAGATTTCTCATCTCTCAGGGCTGCCAAGGCTTTCACAGCATCTGCATTCATGGCTGCGCTAGCGCTAAGGATCCTATGTGGTCACAAAAAGATCTTGTTTGCGTGCGTGGCGCTGTGCTTCCTTTGCAGCCAACAGCACCAGAAACATGAAATATCACCACACAAGCCTTCACCAGACAAGACCAACATGCCTACAATGGCCCCTTGCACAAGGCAAAGCAAGCCTGTAGTGGTAAAGGTCATCAATCAAAGAAAGCCTGTGTTGGCTCCAGTGCACATTTGCTCCAGCACACACCAGTCCTCCAAAGCCGAAGCATGTTTCAGAAAATCTGCCTCTTTGCCTTTGCGCAGCGCGTGTTGCTTTGTACAGCAATGTATGTGCAAAACTGGACGACGGGTGGCCCGAGAGCGAGAAAAAGAAAAGATGTAGATGTTAAGTTTGTAGATGTAGAACATGAATCTTAGTTTCTGATGGTTTAGGATGTAGAAGTGGTGAAGCAGATACAAGAAGAGGTGAGAAGAAAGGAGAAGAGAAAGTAGATATGAAGCGAGATCTGTGAGAAGATGTGATGACAGGAACAAGTGGCGTAGAGGAGGTGAGCAGATGTAGCAGAGGTATTGAATTTTGGATATAAAGGTGTTGAACAAGATGCAACAAGATGAGAAGATATGAGAAGAAGCAACCCTATCACACGATACCGCCAATCATCCCGCTCACCAGCGACGCGCCGCGTTTACGCCAGCATGTTTCGCGCTCCCCAGTGGCACGGCGCCACGCAAACGCACTTTCCACCAAGGCCGCGCAAAACCGCGTGGCACTGCGACATCACGGACGTAATTCGCCACACGGTCTGCCCACACACTAGAAGCAATCCTGTCCCATGATACCGCCAATCATCCAGCTCACCAGCGACACGCCGCGTTTACGCCAGCATGTTTCGCGCTCCCGAGTGGCACGGCGCATGGCACTGCGACATCACGGACGTAATTCGCCACACGGCCTGCCCACACACTAGAAGCTACCTTGCGGACCAAATGAACTTGTACTACTTAAATTTACTTAAAGTAACTTAACCTAGTTAGGGTGTACTTTTGTTAACTTGTTTGTCAACTAAAATACAATTATAACACAAGTAGATATAAGTAACCTCTAAGTAACTTATAAGTAGAAATAAGTAGAAATAAGTAGGTCGCTCTGTAAACCTTGTTTTTTGTTTTAAAGTAACTTTTGACAAAGAGCTTGTTTGGAAGGGATGATATATTAAGTTGCCCAAGACTGTTCACTTTCGATTGATTTGCATTTAATTCTCAAAACCTTGTTTTTTCAAAGTGGAAACCCTGTTTTTACCTATTAAAAGGATGTGCTTATATTGAGCGGGCACACCGTTGAACAGCAACCAACGTGACTGTGTGGAAATATTTCTGTAGTAGAAAAATATGTACATACAAATATTTTTACTCTGCTTTACCTAAATAGACAAAATAGCGGGCATACCGCTCAGCAACAACTAATCGGGCTGTTCAAAA